CTAAGGCGGTGTAGATAAACTTCCCGTGCTCTCCTCTTGGTGACGTGCTAAGCAAGAAGTCTAGCCGGCCTTGGTCTGTCTTGGACTTGGTGGGTTCACGATGAGGTTGGGCTCCTCAACCGGGGTTGGGCTTTAATACATAAATTGGACTACTTGGGCTTAACCCATCATCATTGTTTAATTACTTTTTGGAACAATGAGATTTTTTGTTTAAATACTTTTTTCGCTTTTGTGATGAGTGTGTCTTGAAGTTTGAATTTTAGTAGAAGTCTCTTGAATGTATTTGATTTCTTGGTGTTGAGATTGTGGATTCAGTGGGATATATGTTTTCTAATATTTGGTGGTTTGTGAATTGATTTTGATAAAGTTTTTGGCGGCTCTCCCACATTCAACTAAATGTCTCGTAGAGCTATTTTCATCAAATATTACAAAAGGCATGTTAGGATCATTGAACCTAGACTTATTTTTTTTTGTAGTGCTATGACTCTCGGGTGAATTGTGGGGGCTCCTTCTTGGGCTAGAAGTTTTTAAATTTACGCAATTTTAAATTAAGTGTTTTTTATTTTTGTGGTTATTTTGTATATTGGTAGTAAGTATAATTGTGTTATCTTAAATGAAGTATGAAATTAAATTACCTTAATAAGCACAATTTTTCAATAGATTCTCATTTTTTTTAGTTAGGAATTTTTTTTTGTTACACAATACTTTTAGACATGTGAGTATTTTACCAATTATTTTTTTAAATAATGGGTTTATATTGATTGATAGTTTGTGGTATACATTGCTTTTAAGTACAAATTTTTATTTATTTTTTATCTAGTGTGTTTAGTACGGATAATGACTAGTCTATATAAAAAAAGAGTTAAAATTTATTTGTCTTTAAACTCTTCATGGCTGAGATTATTTGAAAATTATTGATCCAACGGCCAAAACTCCTCCTCCAACATATTTTATCGCCCAACAAGTTCAACAGACCTCTAATTCTAGTACTCTCAAGACTTATCTCAGTCTCTCAACCTCCTCCCATACATCTGTCTCTCACACTCTATCTCTCTTACTACCAATGCTGCCAGCCATCGTCACTGCTACCACTAGCCATCGTCACCACCACTGCTACCAAATTTTGCTTGCTTTCTCTCTATATCTCTGTTCCTCTCCTTTGACTGTCTTCCTCTTCCTCTGTGCCCCTGTGTGTGTTCGATAAATTACCAAGTTAATATTTTTTTCGAGATGTCACCCCCCAGTGGCTCTGCACCTACTGTTTAACGCTTTTGCTTGCTCTCTCTGCCCAGTCAATGGGAGTGCAATGAAAACCGTCGATTATGGCCAGTGGGCTCATATTTTTTTGTGCCCTTTTGGTTCTTGAGGTCTCTCGCCTTTCCTTTCATGACCATTATAGCCTTTGAACCTCCCATGACCACCAGCACAGCCCCACTATTCATACCCATTCTCTAAAGGTCTTTTTTCCCCTAAATTTTCCCCCAAGGTTTAATTCTTCCCCTAATTACAACCACACCGACCACACCCCCTGACCACCCCATGGCCACCATCACATCCCCACGGTTCATACCTACTCTTCAAATGTTTTACTTCCCTTAAATTTTCTCCTCTAAATTTTTTTATAATTTATTTTATTTTTATGTTCATTAACACCACAGAAAGTCTATTTAATTTCTTTTTTCATGGTCATTAAAAATAATTAGGGAAAAATATCAATTCTAAGTGTATGCATGTATTTTGTATACCTGTATTCATTTTATCGATTCTCTTTTGATCAAAAAATTGCTTATTAGTTTTAAACGTGTTTGGGTTGTGTAGGTTAAAAAGACAGCAGGAAATAAACGAGAATTACACTTTTGTCACATTGGTTGTGAGTGTACCATAATAATTTTTTTCTCCAGTTTTAATCATAGTTATCAAAATTGTACGATTCACGATTTGATTCGTACGATTCGATTTGTTACAGGTACATAATGATTCATATCTTATATGAGAATCGTTTTAGAGTTGAATTACACCTGAATCGTACGATTCGATTCGTATTGCATGAACCGTATGATTCAATCACTTTTTTTTAAAACTCAATTTTTTTGCAAAAAACTCACCTTGCATTGTCTAAATGTAAATGTCACAACTAACGCTCTCCCATCATCGTTGATTTTTATTCTCAATTCTTTCAGGGGTAATTTGTTAGGTTTTAATTTTTTGTTTCAAAATGTTGGCCTATATGTTTTCTCCCAACTAATTTTCTTATTTGTTCTTTTTCCATTCATGTTTGTAACCTAATCTATGTTAGGTATCACTATTTTGATTCTTGAATAGTCATTGTTTTTTAATGAATTTTTTTTTTCAAGTTGTTAAATTTGAAAATGGTTAAACAAAAAATAAAAATAAAGCAAAATGCTAGTGTCTTTCCATTTAGACGACGTAATTATGTCAATTGATTATTTTTAGAATACAATAATATTCAATATTCAATATTTTTTTATTTTAAATATATAATATTATTTTTTATTTTTGTTCAAATTTTGTGTTGAATCTTATGATTTACAATTCTCAAATTTTGGATTTCTATTTACAACACGAATCGCGATTTGACAACTATAACTTTAATTGTATTGTATTCGATTGTATCTTGAGTCCCTGTTCTGAAAATTGACATTTGCAGGAGAATAATTATACACTTACATCTACTTTGGAAACGCATCCATATCAAGTTTATTGTACCATGGTATGTTGCCATTAATTTCCTGAAGGGAGAATAACGTTGGCATGTGATGTCCATTAGACTAAGCCCCTTTTTACTTCATTACCATTGAAATTATTGTTGTAATTTTGTTTTAACTTTCACTTAGTTGGTTTTTTTATAACTGCTCTTTCTTTGATTGTGTTTTTGGTTTGCTATCCTACATTGTTAATTATGGGTTTATATACTAATGTCATATGGATGATTGGAGTATTTGGCATCGAAGAAATGAATGCAAACAAGCTTTTGTTCTTGACAGAAGACTTCTTTCCTTAAATTGACTTCATATTATTTTTCAGATTAAAAGTTTTGTGCGGTGGTCATCACTTGTGGCACACGTAGCTACGATACATAAGCAGGTTGTTTATTGCTAGGGATATGTCGTTACTTTTAATTATCTAATTTGTTGTGTTCAGGTTGACGTACTTTATTACTTTTTGTTGCCCTTATGATAAATATATTTCAACCTAAAACATAGTTCTACTTAATTTCTTTTGCAATTTAATTGTGTTTGATTATAAGTTAAGCTTATTGATTTATCTTCTTATGAGAGATATTTGATCATATATGATTCTGAGTCATGATAATAAACAAGTAGTTCTTTGTATATTTTACCAAATTCGTCCTTTTAATTTAATTTACTTGGTTCAAGGTAAGATTGAACTCTTTTATTGTTTCTCATTAATTGTGATTGAAGCCAATGGGACCTTTGACTTTTTGACATAGGAGATTTGAACATTGTTTCAAAGATATACTTAGTTTATTTCAATTCTTATTGCTAAACATTTTTATGATACTACTTAGTACGTATCAATATTAGAGACTTTTGGGCTTTGAGCTATGCGTGAGCTTAATATCTATCTCTCTCTCTCTCTCCAACTCTATTTATATATCTTGAATGAAGGTTTCACATTGTTGTTGAATTGCTATACATGGTCACCATGACATGGCTATTGTGTAAGCAGGCTGTGTGCTACTAGCTAAGTGTAATATGTTAGTAGTTTAAGTATTGGTGAACATGTTGTTGGAGTTGGAGATATAATTTATTATAAATGTTGAAATCCTAACTAGTAGACTCCCAAATAAATTTTACATGTGGACCATTTAAGTTATAATTGAAATTGATTACGAATGGTGAAAATATTTTTTTTTCCCGTAAATGTTGATTCATGCATGACTGCAGCGTGATTTTCTTTAAATAAAGTTTGATTATACATGTTTTGTATACAAGTTAATGTTGGCTGATTGTCGTAAATGAATTACAAATATTTGTTATTTTTAACAAGTTATATAATGTCTTCATACACGGACAATTACTAATAATTGAATAAATGATCAATGGATGATTGATAGTCTACTTTTATCAATTGAGAGAAAAAAAATTAAAATTTTTAGTTAATTTGTCCACTTAGAACAAAATTTTTTATTTCACCTCGTGTCTTGCTTAAACAAATGGACACATACATGACTCATACTTGAATATAAGGGCAATATCATTTATTCGTCTTAGATCAAATTAAAATACTAAAAGAAGTAATTTACCAAATTATAATTACGAGAATATAAGGGCAATATCATATATTTGTGATGGATCAAATTAAAATACTAAAAGAAGTAATTTACCAAGTTGTAATGAAATAACAGTTAGTTATAATTCATTTAGTTCCATATGATCATCCTTATCATATACCACCATGTACCAAACACCCCAATAATTTTTCTTAGCCCTTTTTTCAAAAATTTGACAAGTTGCCAACTATACTACTGAAATTATATATTAAGAAATTAGTTTCTTAGTATAGAAAGTTCATTGAAAACAAATTGCATCTATAATTTGTCAAATACAATTACAATTTTGCTGCAGCTGGAGAATTTTTTTTTTTAATGGTCAGGAGTGTTTAGGCCAACTTACATACATTTCGACTTATTTTTTCTCCCGATCCAGTTAAAAGCAAACCATCCACATCGGGACTAAGGTATTTATGATAGATAAATCTTTTATGGTCTAACCCAAGGAGTTGTTAAAATTCGAAGTCGGGACGTCTAAATTTACTATTCGTCTTTATTACTGTTTGATCTACCCATCGAGATTCCAGTTGGAGAATTTCTGGAATACCAACTCTTTGTTCAAAATATGAAGCAGATTTTGTAAGTTTTCATTTAGTTTTTAGCATGACATGAAACATTGGACTTGTCGACATGAATTGCAGAGATCTTTACAAAAAAAAAAATGTGGAAGGCATTATTTAATATCACATTTAGCTATACCGAGATGAAGGTAATCTAATAGACAACTTCTTGGTCATCGCCCTCCAGAGAGGAGGGATTCTACAACTGAGGATGCCTTCTCCATAAAAGATGGTTGCGACTTGGCAATATTATGTGCAAACGTCAGGCCAGTTGCAGACATACCAAGCGATGATAACTCTGGCAGAAGTATGGCGCCCTCCAAGTACTGTTCAACTTGCCTCATTGTTGGCCTTGCTAGAGGCTCTGAGTGAGAGCATAGCAAGCCAAGCTTCAACACTAACTCCACTTCCTCTGCTATGTAATCGGTACCCAAATTTGGATCAACTGTTTGAAGAATCTCACCTCTGCTCCAGCACGAAAACACCCAATCAACCAAAATCAGATCCTGATCACTTGATGCTCGTTGCTTTATTGGTCTTCTTCCACAGGCAACCTCTAGCACAAATGCCCCAAAAGCATATACATCAGTCCTTGTTGTGGCCTTGCCAGTTCTGGTATGCTCAGGTGCTAGATACCCAAAAGTTCCAGCAACATGGGTAGTTTCAGGGTCGGCTCCATGGTCATACAATCTCGCGAGACCAAAGTCTCCTAATCTTCCATTTAATTCGGAATCTAATAAGACATTACTGGCCTTGACATCTCTGTGAACCACTACTTGCTCCCACCCTTCATGTAGATAGAACAGTCCTGATGCTACACCTTTGATGACTCGAAATCTTTGGCTCCAATTCAGAGTGAATTTCGGTTGTTTATAAAGAAACTTGTCTAGGCTTCCATTGGGCATATGTTCATAGACCAAAAGGAGCTCTTCTTTGTGCCGACAATAACCCAAAAGAGGTACTAAATTCCGGTGGCGTAGCCGACCAATACTGACTACTTCAGAGACAAACTCCCTTATCCCTTGTTTTGATTCATGAGACACCCTCTTCACTGCAATTTCAACGTTAGAGGTGGGTAAGACCCCTCTATAAACACTACCAAATCCCCCAGTACCCAATAGCTCCTTGCCACTAAAACCTTTGGTGGCAATATACAAATCCTGGTACTTGAATCTATGAGGCCCATACTCATGTTCCCAATCTTCTAGCACTTCTGCAAACTTCCTTTTTCTTCTTACAGAGTAAATTACTCCTGTGACCATAATCAACACTGAAACGATGGAAATCACAGGCAAACCAATTGTCAACATTTTGGATGTCTCTTTAAGCCCAACTCGAGGAAGCTTAGGAAGTCGAGAGAGAGAAAGACCTTGAGCCATGCCATTCATCTTAAAGCTCCAACCTAAGATATAATGGGATGCCAATAATGGATTACCAGTGGATGACGAAAATCCAACATACATGGTTTCCTTCATAATTGATGAAAGATCATGGTACATAGAGACGAGCGGCCTATCTGGTTTACCGACATTTATTGGAGCTAACGTGACTGTAATTTGGGTTGAAACACCATCATACTCCACCCAAACTTGCATTGGTTGGCCACTATTAAGAGTCAAGTACTTATTCTCCCACAAGGGATTTCGATTACTGCCAAGAGCAGAATATGCTGCTTCTTTTGAATATATGGACTCTAAACCATTAATATCAATGCCAACATGGTTGTTGCCAGCCTCGTTAAACTCAACATTCTCCAACGTGTCGAGTTCCACTGCGAAGACATGGTTATTCGTATCGCCATTGTTGGTCGCATTGAAAAGGCCTAAAAACTGGGCTGCAAGAGCTCCTGGAAGTTCTCTAGTTTGGGCAATCACAAAAGCGATTCCATGGCCGCTCACAGTCGATTTTTCTGGGACGATAGCAAATACAAAAGAGGTGGAGAAGGAGAAAACTGAACCGTTTGATGAGTTCTTGAAGGTGATAGGGTTGGGATAGAAGGCATGCCCCATTTGGTATTTGGTGGCATTTGTTAGCTTCAAGAGGCCATTGGGCGTGAACTCTGCTTTGCCGTCGAGACTCAGGTTTGTTGATCGGAATCCATTGTAGATGAAACCAAGATCTTCAGAGGAGGCTGCTGCTAAGCCAACTAGAACACACACCACCAGTGTTGCACCAAGTTTGCAAAACATGGTTGATGCTTTTCATCACTCTTCCATCTCATTACTCATATGGACTTTAGGCTCCACAATAATAGATAACACAACTAAATTTAACCACAATTTCCTACTCGTATATAACTAGTTGGACACCACCGAGTGAGATATTGACTAAACTTCTCACCCTAAACTTAAAATTTTGAATCTTAAAGTTTATATTAAGTCTCAATGATCGACTATTATTCTAACCTAACTATATTTGTTCTTGAGAGGAGAAATAATCACCATCAAAACCCTCATAATCCTACAAAATGAAAGCCTATCGGAATACACGTTTTGCTCAGTCATTGACAAGTAAACGTTGTTAGTCAGAGCCGCCTTTGAGACAAGGACCAGATATATTAAAGGGGATTTTCGGGATGGTACTTAGAATCTCCTTGGATGTACCGTAGCCGTGCCCTTGAGACTAATGGCAACGACAATTCATTCAACAATGTTGCAACGACCCCACAGCCCCGTTGCCAGGTATTTTCCGGTAAATAATTCTGCTGTGTAGTTAATGGGTAGGATGGCATTTTGATGGCATTTAGAAAAATTATTTTTGGTACCATATCTCCAAATTTTTTTGCGCCTTAGATATTCTATGACTTATTTTTTATAATTGATCAAAAAAATAAGAAAGTGAAATTAAATACTAAAATAAATGAAATTTACACATGACAAATTTTCATTAAAGAAAATGAAATGTATAAATATCAAAAAATTATTTTTCGATACTACTTACGTGATAATATTAATTCTAGTATAGAACATCATGTTTTCTAGTATGGTGAGTTGGTCATATGTTTTCTCTTAAGAAAAATCTTTGGGAGTCTAAGAACTACCAAAATTTTGATCAGTTCCCTTTTCCGAATTATGGCTTAATTGCCATAGCTTCTGATGAAATTTGTTTAAATAATAATTCCAATAAGACTCTTTTCAAGTACAGATAATAGCACTATCCCTTCCTATGATTTGGTTGCCTATAATGGATTCTCTCAGCTCCTAGTCACAAATAAAGACTAGTATTTTAAATGTGTAAGAATAATATTCTAAATGTGAAGCAGTTCAAATGATTAAGTGACAAGTACGAAGGGACCTATGTATAATTTATCTATTTAGTTTTAAACGACAAACTAACGACTGTTAGTTTCAGATGTACATTAATATAAATTTCTATCTTTGAAGGTATAAATTGAGATTTTTAATCTTTAAAGGTACAAATTAAAATTCGAACAATTTTTTGGGGTACAATTTATAATTAACCCTATAAATAAACTTTAAGCATACTTCTTATCTTAAGATCAGTTGGACAGAGACATATTCATAGAACAACAATGCTATTTGGTTTAGTCACAGCCGACGTTCGAGATGAATGACACCGTAGATATAGACAGGGCCTTAATTACCAAAATTGCCTAGAAATATTCACTTTCAATTCCCTTCTCTGAATTGACCTGGGGCTTAATTACCATAACTAGATAATAATAATAATAATAATAATAATAATAATAAGACTCATGACTACTCCCTTGAGCCTAACAATTCCCAGCTTGAATTGGATTAGATTTAACTAGTGAAGCACTCCTAAACTTTTAACTAGTGAAGCACTCCTAAACTTTACTCAATTCCTTAGTGCCAAAGTCATTTGATTCTTTTTGGTCTTTTTTCTAAGTGGTATGGTAGGCACAAGGGAAAAATCAAGTTGTGAACTTATTCCACTCAGCCGAAAACTCCAACCTGTAACATTTCTGATACTATTGATGTATAATTCAAACAAACCCCACAGACATTTGGAGTGTTTTTGGGATGATTTATTGAATTCAAAAGTACTTCTTAAATAATTACTTTTTAAAAAAATATTTATTAAAAAATATTTTCTTCCATAAGAATCGTTTGGTTGCTCATTTAAAAAAATACTTAAATAAAAATGATTTTACAAAAATTGTGTTTAGATGATCAATTAAAAAAGTATTTATTTGTATCACAATTACAAATATACCCTTTTTAATCAAATATATATGTGTGTGTTTGCATTTATTTTGTTAAAAATATCAATGGTTATCCCATGATACATTTTAGTGATAATTTATCAAATATTTATATAAACTCACAAAAATGAAAGGATAACCATGATATACCAGTGATCTAAAAATATGATGAACCCAAGTGTAAACTTGGAATTCACTACTATGGATTTTTTCGTCACCCATGTGTAAGCTTCTACTCTTTGATGCAAATATTTTTTTTTAAAAAATAAATCAATACTTTATTTTATTACTCAAAAATTATTTACAATGGAATAAAAGACAGACCGACCCTGCCTTAACAAGACTTTAATCCAAAATGATTAAGGGCATGTTTGCTTCATGTGGAATTTTTTTTTTAACAAAATAAAAATTTTATTTATACCCAAAAGCCAAACCATTTATAAGAAGCAAAGGATAAGGCACAGACGCCTTTCCGTAACAAGAAGAACACAAAAGTCCAAAAAACACCAACCAAATGGCTTCAGCAGCATCCTCCAAAAGACAAAAGCCTTCAAGTCAGTAGCTTTTCCCTTCTCCAATTTTCAAACAAATCAACACTTAAACTTTGAAGGCAAAACTCCATAAGGATCACGCAGTCTGTCTTAGCCCTTATCATCGAAAACAACTCTTTTCCTCTTGCACAAAACAGGAAGTCCCTGCTGATCAGAACGAAGAGCCAAAGAAACCTCACAAGGCAGCTGCAAACCCACCAAATAATCCACAGAATTTCTACCCACAACAGCCTGCCCAGCAAGTCTATCAGCTACTTCATTTGCTTCCTGACAAATATGTACCAAGCAAAACTCCAACCTTCCCAAAAAACCTTTAATCAGCCAAGCACTGATCTGCGCATCGAGGATGATGCTGCCTTAACAAAACCCCAAATCTCAAACAGATTTGAACTTAAATATCTAACCTAATTTATTGACCTAACTCAATGATGTGGTTTTATCGGATCAACACCAAGTACAGATCTACGCATCGAGGATGGTGCTCTTTTGTGCTTGCAGATAAAATGGTCATGTTCCACTAGGATACTTTGGAGCAAACACAGCACAACTTCAGAAGTTTGTAAAACATTAGTAACATGAAAGAGACTTTGAATGATGGCACCCATATCTCCCTTGGCCCTTAGTGCAGAAATACACACAATACGTGTGATCATTCTTATGAGACTACAAAATACAGAGAGCATGTATGATCATTCTTACAAGACAAATACTTGAAAGGGTATAACCGCATACCTTATATGTCAATAAGTCGTCATAGAGTAAACAAGGCTTCGGATGCTCTAGCCAATTTAGTAAAATCCCGAAGACAGGATTGCTTTTCATGGATAGGATATGCATACACCAAAGTGTTTCTCTAGCAGCCTCTAGAACTATATTGGGGAATTGATATATTTTAATTGTCTACAACTTCTTTTCCACCCACACACGCAGAAGAGGTGGTTTCCCGCTAATTTGATATAGTTTCATGATCACACTATTGACGAATAACAGAAGATCCATAACATCAATGACTAATAATTTCTAAAGGAGAAAACGTTATAATTAGTAGCAGTACAATCTATTTGACTTATTTCCTTTAACTCTGTTCTGAATGTTTGGGAACTCATTTTATCAAACACCTTACATGCATATTGATTCATAGATAATTCTTAAAAAACCCATTCATTCAATAATTACCTATCCTAGTTTATTTATATCAAATTCAAAGAGCTTATTGTGCGGGCAAGATCCTGCATAATATAAAAAACGAGAACAGATCTCTCCCTTGGTGAACTCGAGTGAGCCAGTTGAGTGACCAACCATGTTGCTTGGAACAGCCTGCGAGGTCCGGTGGTAACCTGGAACGGCAACGGGAGACCCTGGGGGAGCGGAAGAACGATCCAGTAAGGCTGAAAGAGGTTCCTGGAACAAAGAAGAACAAGTTAGAAGGGCGCCAGAGTATTTTCCGGCGTATCCCCTCCGACGATCTAGTCAGTCTTTGAGAAAGAGAGAGGAAGGAGAAAACACTGAGTGTGTATTGTAGTAAAGAGTTTTTTGTTGCATCCCCATCTTGCCTTTTGGAAGGAGTATTTATACCTCAAAAGCTCATGATTGCTGTCAGTGTAGTCAGTAGGTGATCATTAGGTACAGGCAGTGTGCGCACTGATTCTGATGAGGAATGTCTTCTCTTCTTAACTGCTCGGGGTCCCGAGCAATCAATGCTGTGTCATCGGGATGCCGACGGTACAATGTACTCCTATCGGGGAGGATGCAATAAATGCTCTGTATTAAGAGCATTTATTGTCTTTCATTTCCGAGCCTTACCGCATTGAATGCGGTCTCGTCAAGGGAATGGTGTAATTAATCGTTTGCTTTCCCAAGTCGCGTGTCAGCAATGGCATGCGGTTTCTCTGTTTTCGATGTGATATCATATGCCACGCGTCCATCCCCCATTGGCTGTGGCCCCTGCATTCCTGTACGTTCTGACACTAATTGTGTAAGGCGAGGTCATGCTGAATAGCCTAGACTAGCCTAGGCTAATGACCTGTACGTCAATAGCTTATCCTGGAGTAGAGGAGGCGTCCAGGAAGGGTACCTCTCGGCACCGAGGAAAGGCTCATCTCGGACCCGAGGGAGGTATACCGACCGAGGTAGCATATCAGACGAGGCTACGTGTCGGTTGTAAAACATACTGAATGCCATGATCCTATATGACGAGTACCTCGGGGGCGAGGACCTTTGCACGCCGATGGTGCTTGATCTTAGCAACAGTGTTTTGGTAATACCGAGGACACGTGTCTTCATCATGGAATATTTCAGAAAAGTCTCATCACTTATGCACATATTTGTTACTACTGTCAATAACAACTCCAATTCATTGGCTGGAATCAAGAGCGCACCAAAAAATTACAAATACCTCTAAACAACACAAATCGACTGCCTTGCTTTGATAGAATGTGTTCCTCCTCTGCTTTGATGATTTGATCGTTGAAGTAAAAAGAAAATCTGAAACCAAACATCATATTTCATTAACGATCAGTGAGAGACGGGGGAGCTCCAACATCATTAATGGAACTCTCTGGTGTCGTCGAGATGATAGAAGAAAGTGTGGTCGGAGGTAATCGGCAGTCGATGATGGCTACATGTCAACACAGTACAAGAGCAGGCAGAGATTGAGAGAGAGATCGACTGAATCTGAGGCGGCAGAGATCGTGAGAGATATCGGGGGAGGGGGGAGGCAAGTGTTTTAATTAAAAAACGTTTATTAGAAGTAAAGGTTAATTTTTTTTACTTCTCCTTGATAGCTTATTTAAGCACTAAAATTACTTTTACTTATTAAAAAGTGTTTTTAAAAAATTGATCCAAACACTACTTTTTTAAAAAAAAAATTTTAATAAGTCAAAATATCAAAAAAAACACTTTTTTTAAACTATCCCAATCACACTCTTAGTCTAAGAAGATTTGTGAAAAATCAATCTCTACAATCAAGAGCGAAAGATCTAACTTATTTACAAT